ACTTTATAACTCTCTTCCTTGGTTTCTTTTTAGTTGCTTTCTTCACGTCTGTCTCCAACTTGACTGTCTTTCTTCTTCGTCCGTAATGATACCAATTACTTCCACCAGTCAATGGGTCAAATGGTCTTTCGTAAGGGTTTCCATACATTCCATAGGGACCATACGGAAGAACTACTGGTGGAGGAAGAGTTCCATCGACTCTATTTAAATGCATTGTTTCACCTTTCATCTGGTCATTAAAGTCTTTTGCGTGTTTTGCAAACTCATCGTCCTTTCCTAAAGCATTTTCTGACTCAGTCGCAACCAAATTGGATGCTTTATTTATGAGTCCTATTTTATTTAATCTTAACTTCTTTGCAACCCAGCCTCCAATCTTTCCTTTATTTGCATCTAATGTCTTCGAAACTCTTCCTCCACTCATTTTATTTACTGCGTCATAAGCTCCAAGTGCTTTTGCTCCAAATGCTAATGCTTTTGTTCCCATTGCGCCTAAAGCTGCCCAAGCTACCATTTACACCATATTAAAATCATCTCTCTTCAATATTATCTCATAAAAGTTCTCGTTACTGGAGAAAGTCAATGAAACATAAACATTCTCATTCATAAACTTATTTCTTATATCATCTATTCGCTTCAAAATGTCTGAACAATTGCTAACATTAGGGCTGTACAAGATTTAAAAAAACATTGCCGGGTTACCGTAGAGGCCTAAAAAAATCGCGCCTCGGCGGCAAGCCGCCTCGGCATTAAGAATGCGCATCTAAATTTTTATATGTCCTTCTTTCTTTTATTTTTCCCTTCCCTTTCTTTTCTTTTTCTTTTTTTTCCCTCCTCTTGCTCTCATTTACCTTTTTTTTCCTTTTCTCATCATTTTTCAAAATTTTAAATTTTTATCAAAAATCTTGCCTATAAAAGCAGACTATGGAACCTTTTAATGCCTCTTAATCAATATTATACAGCATAAAGCATATTAAATGAAAGTAATTACGTATAAAAGTTAGTATACAAGTCTCGTGTATGGAGGCACTGCGTTCCTCCATACGCAATACTTGTGAATTTGACACTTTACAAAACCGTTAACGTATATTTTACAACACAAACACAAACATTAACTTAACCTTAAATATTTATAAAGCCGCCAACCACTTCACCTCACTAACGACTTCACTAACGAATTCACTAATGTTTTCACTAACGAACTCACTACTGTAAAAATAAACGTTCTCATTTACAAAAGTATTGCAACTCTTCCCATTGCTTTGCTTCACACAACAGTTCATATTCTTCACTATCGCTGCTGTCACTCCAATCGTCAGAGTCAAAGTCACTGTCAAAATAAATGTTAGTAAGTTTTGACAAAGCTAATGAAACACGCTTACCGTTTGTATCGTATGCTTGTATAAACTTTCCATTCTTCATTCCTTCATAAATGCTCAAACTAACTTTACCCTTTCTCCCTCGTATCTGATAGAATGTATTTTCACGAGGAACGAAGAACAAATTCTTGAACTCATGACCGTTGTAGTTTGTTATCTCAATAGTTTTCGTCATTTACATCCAAATAAAATAAAAATAAACTTAAAAATAAACTTAAAAATTAATGATATCACCACCCTCACACGTATGAAAACATAGCACAAAAATAAATTTAGGTGAAGTGGTGAGATCTCACCTCTTTTTTCACCTGTTTTTTCACCCTGTTGAATTCATTGCTTTATAACTCTCTGTCGTCTGCTTTCTCCAACTCTTCTAACTTCTTCTTAAGTTCAGCAATGTTGTCCTCATGAAGTTTAATCTTTCTCAAAATTCCTTCTTTATCTAATGGTTGCTTTATCTTTCTAAACTGAACTCTACCATCCTTCATAGTATGAACGTAAAAACCTTCTGGAATAATTCCTGATTTAATGTATTCTACCAAAAACTTTTGTTTCATTGCTTCAGTGACTTTAGTCGTCATTTCAATCAAATAAAAATGTTCAAATAAAATAAAAATAACGTTATTTTTTCAGTAAGGAAACGCAGGAGTTTTACGATTTATTTGTGGTGTAGGTTCTGGTTTAAATGTTGGAGTCGGTTTTGGAGTTGACTTTTGAACAGGAGTTTGTAATTCCATAGGTTCAGGAGTCATTGAAGGTGTTGTTTGTGAAGGCGTTGGTTTTGGCGATGGTGTCGGAGTTTGTTTAACTTCAGCTACTTCAGTATTATTTACAACATTTGCTTTATTTCTTTTCAACATCATTACTGCTCCTGCTGTAGCTAGCAAACCTAGTGGGAGACCATATTTTATATAAGGACTTGACCAAATGCTATTTTTGACAGGAGCTGGTGGAACACCTAACCTTGGTGAGACTGCTCTTTGCCATTGTGCAGCTCGTAAGAAATATTCAATAGGTGCTCCATAATCATTTGGTAAAGTTTGTTTCATAGATGGTGAAGGTTCACGAGAGCTTGATGAAGAACTCATTTATAAGCTTTAAAAATAAACGTTCATCCTTTATTCCTCACTGTCGTCCGTAGCTAAGTTATAGTCATCTAATCTTATTATGGGGATGCCATTAGCACGCACCTGAATGGCAAAGCAACAATCCCTCATAAATCCAATAAGTGGCTTTGGTACATTTTCAGTTGCTAGTTCAATAGGTCCTTTAACAGACAATTTGTATGTTATTGGAGCAGTAGATGTTTGACCTTGCTGGAAGCAAAAGTCCACTTCTGTTGGAAAACCACATAAGAAATGTGTGTTGTCATAACTATCCCATTTATGTTCCACACTACCATCATCCACCAATGACCTCATAACATCTTCATTAAATCCTATCATATCATTGTTTGTATTGCAAGCGTTCGCAACCATTTCATAAAATACAGGTCCATATGATTTTTCAGGTTCTGCAGGCATATTTCCATAAGCTCCCATGGAAAGCTGAAGATATTTAAACTTAGGGTTCTCAAAATTAACATAATAGTTGTCTTTCTTTCTAAATAGTGCCCAAATACTTTTAACATTAATAGGCGTATAAGCTGCTGTAAATGTTGCACTTGAACTATCTGTATTCTTTGAGAATGAACCATCCATAGGAATCCAATCCATAACTTTAACAGGAAAACATAAAGCCTCGTTTGTATAATGTTCTACAAGTTCTGTATAAATGTTAGGGTCTAAAGAGAATGACTTTGGATGAATGAAACATTCATTAAAATCCATCTTTGTTCGAAATAGTTGTTGGGTTACAGTTGTAATAGTAACTGTTCCACTAGCTTCTACTGACTTCGTTATCATAGTGAATGGTTCATTCCATGGAACAAATTTATTTGTCGGTGGATTTGAATCTGAAGCAAATGCAACTTTAAGAGTTGGATTGAAAGCAATGATATCATTTACAGATATAGATGTGCATTGTAAGGCGTCACTACTGAACTTTACTTTAAGCTGAATGTTTCCTGCAAAAGCTGGAATAAATCGAATAGCTTCTAATGGAAGGAATCTTCTAACAGGAATTCTTAAACGAAGCTTAAAATCAAATGATTTTCCTGCTGTAATTGGACCACTAACAATTTGTCCTGTTCTGCATGTTCCCGAATGACTCCATACATCTTCATGTCGAGTCTTTGAGAAAACATCTACTTTCTTTATTTGTTCGGTAGTTTGTGAGTTTGAAGTTATATATGCTTCTTCTCTTGCGTTGTCTTGAGAATATACGATACGACCATTTGCAAGGATTTGATATCCAGCAACTGCATAGAAAGCGTCATCGAAACCAATCCAAAATCCTGGTGGGTTTGTTTTATTGGAACCTGAACCAATTTCTTTATCTACAATAAATTGACCTTCCATTTTATACGTAATGAATGTATTGTAAAGGTCCAACATATTTTCACCAGGAGGTGAGAGATTGAATGTTACCCATGTGTTATCTTTAGCAGTTCCAGGTTGTGATGGAATCTTTGCGTCAGAATATTTTCTATTAGTGTCACCAATTTGAACTGCATTGTCTATGATATCGAAATATGAGCGAATCTGATGAATATGCTCTGCTGGAGTAAATTCGTTTAACTGTTCGTTCTGCATGTATTTACTTCGGATAAAAATATCTATTTACTTCATTATTCTCACTCTTCTTCTTGGCATTCGTGGTGGAAGTTGTTTCTTGACATTTTCAATGAACTGTACATTCTCTTTTGTCTCAACTTCTTTCACTGGCGGGTCAGGGTTCTTTGACTCGGTTTTTTTTCAATGAAATTCACAAACTTTGCAATAAGCTCTTGGTTCGTTATTGAAAGTACATCTGGCTTCTTTTCTTCTTGTTCTTTGACTTTTCAGTTTGAATAGAAGGTTTTATATGGGCTTCGTGGACTTCATCCTTGCCATACACCTTAATGTTGTCGCTTTCTGCATTCGCTAATGGAACCTTTCTTTTTCTTACGTATATTTTACCATCTTTACTCTGACTTACGTAATAGAAAGGATGTTGTATTCCTCTTGCGTCATTTAATATAATAGACTCTCGTTCTGATTTTGACAAGCTCATTTTACATCGGTTAAAGTTTTAATTTTGTTTTTTATCTGCAGTCAAATGACTCAGACAAGTCATATGGACAAGACTCAAGGGGTCATAGATGTTGAAGCATTGAAGAAAGAAATTCGTGAGCAAATTTTATCCGAACTGAAGGAACAAAAACAAGAACAAAAGCCAGAGAGACCAAAGAGAAAACTTAGTGAAAAACAACTTGCTGCATTAGCTGCTGGAAGACAAAAGAACCCACGTTTGCTGGCGAAGAAAGCTAGAGAAGAAGCTGAAGCAAAAGCTAAAGAAGCTGAAGCAAAGAAAGAGTAAATGGTTTATTTTTATCCGAATTAAATGTATAGACAAATACCTTTATCTGTTGCGTTCAGTAGTGAAAACCCTGACGTCAAAATAAAGGGGAACAGAGTAACGTTTAAGTTTCCAACAGACTGGATTGTGAACATAAATGAAGAGAAGTACATTGGCATAACATCTATGTATATAACACGTGCTTTCAGAAAGGTTGACTTTATACTTCAAGTCGAGATAGAAAATGACGAACAGTCTTTAAGCGCCCAAAACATTCACATATACAAATACTTTAAAGACGATACAACATTGTTGCAATGTATGATTTCATTTAATGAAATGTTCGAGAAAAAGTTTAACATTGAAGTACAAACTTTACAGCCTTTACGTGAGTTTCTTGCACAACTGAAAGAAGAAGGTAGTCAGCCACAACTTATAGACTTTCATTATGAATTTAATGAAAATGAAGATGGAACTCATGACTGTCAATTCATTGTATTCTCACCATTCAATGAAGTCGCTAAAGAGAAAGAAAATCCATTACGTATAAGATTTCAAATCTCTGAACCAAATGATGACTTCAAGAATGTTTTCAATTATGATGCAATGCTTCCGAGGAAAAATGAATTTTCAAAGATTGTAACACCTGGCATTTGGGATAGAAAGCAAGCTATATTATATTCAAACTTAAGTAAGGGAGTTGAAAATGAGTTCATTGGTCATACAAGAACTTCACCACTTCCTAACCCTAAATACTATAAATTAACTGGCTTCAATCGTGAGTTTTGGATAGACATGTTCTCCACTCATGACCATAACTGCCCAGTGTTCTTACCTCCAGACCATAAGGACTGTCTCTACATTGAAGCACAACTCTTAAACTCTACCATCGCAGTATTGTAAATGACCACATGAGCTTATTTTTATCACGAATGACCTCATTGCTGACAAAAATAAATGACCTCAGAACTTCAACTTACGAATAAAGCTTGTTTTAGTCGTTATTGAGAAGTTAAACTTCTTTCAAAGCAAGGTTGACATGACTTACATAAGTCAAATCCAATCTCTTGACCGTCATAAAGTGCTTTGTAAAGTTTCATTAAACTGAACTCAGAGTCTTTGTCATATGTTCCAACAGGTATGTGAATGTTCTTCTCTTCATTGTAATAGCATTGTATAGCTTCAGGAAACATTTCATTAGCGGTTAAAGCAATAACATCTTGCTTCACGCCTTTCATTCTGCAGTGAAATGCAACTTCATTTAAATCATTCGTGAGTAAGTCTATGTAAGTCTTCTTTCCACAGAAAATACTTTTATAAGCTAAACTTTGTTTTCCAGGTGTTATTTCTGCAAAGTCGCTATGAAATTGACCAAGGTTCTTTCCTATAAGTTCGCGACCATATCTCTTCTTAAACTCTGCTGCAAGCTTTGGGATGTCTTCATTATATAAGTGCATACTGTCGTATCCTGGTAAAAGATTTGAAGTCCCATGTCCTCTGCAGTACAGAATACTTCATTCATAATACGTTTTGACATAGACAGAATATTAACACCAAGTGGACAGAAGTTAAAGTGTCTGCAAATGCTTTTCGTTAGCTTGAAAATAGTTTTATCTGAACCATCCAAACCTTCGAACTTCACTATATGGTTGTAATTTCTTATAGCATATCTTATAGCATCTTTGTCATTTACTATGGTTATTTTTGACTCAATAGGAGATAGAATAGTTTTTGCCATAAATGCTGTTCAGAATGAGTTTTATAATTTCTTGTAAGGGGTTTCCTTCTTTCTTATACTTTAACCTTAACTCAAACAACTTCTTTACTTCATCTCTTATTCTCATATCTCTGTTTCCATCGTAATAGTATCCTTGCAACACTTCACATTTGACACCTTGATATTTTATGAGGTCTTGTAATGTTATATGGTCAACATACATGAGACAGCAAGTGTTTGAACTTCTTGGAACGTTAAGTTCTGGATTTAGTTCAGGGTCGCAAACTATTAAATGAAAGTGTCTGGGTATACCAATCTCTGTTATCTTAATGAGAACAAAGAAGCCAGACATAAACTTTTCACCAATGGGTTCCTTTTGGTCATCATCGAATAAATGTCTCATGAGATACTCTGTGCTTAGCATCTCATCCTTCAATACTTTTGGAATACCTTCTAAAGTATAAAGTCTTGCTATAGCTGAAGGATATAATGAAACAGTGTCGAAGTCAGCAATGAGTTTCTTTTTGCTCTTTTGTTTCATGTTATCTGACAACATACATCTTCCACCTTGAATGCATCTCGAAATAAATTCTCTTGGTTTATTTGAGAGGTCATAAAGATTTCCATTCGGGAAGTATACTCTGTTCTCAAACAATTTGTTAGCAATAGAACAAATACTAACGTAGTCATAAACGTTTAAATCAAACTCTTTCAATAAGTCATTGCGGAACTTTACAAAACCTTCTCTTAAAATTCTTACATCTTGTTTGCAGTAAAACGTGCTATATTTTTCTAAGTCGAAGTGGTTCTCATCTATTCTGCAACCTTTGATGGAATCTATGTTCTTCATAAATGTATCTGCATCATGGATAAACTTACATGCTTCAGAAATGACACCAGTTCTGTTGTCATTTGCTAACAAAACACTGCTGTAGTAGTTATATGGAAATACTTCTTTCGGTCCTGTTTGTAAGTTAAACATAGCAGGAAATAGTTTAAGCTTCTTATTTATAACACTGTAAGAGTCTTTTATAATAATTGCCCGTCCTTTATATAAGCCAGTTATTTGCATTGTTCGTGAACCTTTAATGATGGGAGTTCCTTTCACTTCTGTCATGTGTCTTAAGATGAAGTTTATGTCATAACTGAGGTTGTGAAAATATATTAAACTCTTGTCAGGAAGTCTTTCCAAAAATTCTGTTGCACAGTTTTGACCCCAAATGCTTTCACTAACTGAACCATCTTCACTGTCATAACAGATGTTAAAAGCTTTATGAAAGCCATCGTACTACACTCAAAGTCAGCAAAGAAAACGTGCTCAGGTATGAATTTACATTTAGCTTTATTTACTTCTTTTGACTCTGCTTTCTTCTTCAGTTGTACACAATACTTTGGAGCATATGTCAAATCTTTAAATGGTGCAAGGTTCTGTTTATATAAGTCAGTAGTATATGTGAAAAGTTCTCCATAAGAAATAGGTTCGAAATATTTGCACTCCCACAATGTTTTCATAACATCCCATAACGGTGTTGTTCTATCATAACGAACTACATATTTATCTTCTCTCTTTGTATAAATCTTCATCTGTTTCTCAATGTTCATTCCACCACAAGCTTTGAGAATTTCTTTATAGTTTCGAATGAAGTATGTTGTCATTGGAAGTCTTTCATTTAGCATGTAGTGGTCTTCAACAAGAAGTAAGTCAATAGTTCTAACAGTTTCGCATTCTTTTGGTATATATCTCTTTATTTCATTATGTCTTGAGTCATTGAAATAACCAATGGTAACATTAAATGCTATACCTGTTGCGTCAGAAATTTCTTGTACTTTACTTTGAGGAAAGTCTCTAACACGAATGACTTCTCTCATGTGGTCAATAGTTTCTTCATTTACTCCAGCCTGAATGCAAGCATAAACGAAACAATTGTCCTCTGTCATAAGTGTTGCAGTTCTTTTGTTCAGTTCATTGAAGATTTGGTAGCGTTCAAGATTTATAGGTAATGTGCAAAGATACTTCCAGAACTGACCGCTTCTCTTCTTATAAAACTTCTTTTCACCATTATCTTTCCAAAAGCTTTCTATAAGTGCTGGGTTTCCTGTTTGCTTAAGAGCTTCCAAAATGGCTTTCTGGTCATTTGTCAGTGTGCTTTCATCTCTATATGGTCTCTTTTTTGGTTTGCCTTTCTTTACATCTGACATCGTTAAGCCTTCATATTCTGTTAAATCATACATCTTTATTTCGGTAAGATTCTTTATGTTTGTCAAGAAGAAGTCATAGTGCATTTCAACAATACCTGCGGCATTTGCTTCTATCTCTGATATAAAGTTCTCCTTCAAGAGCTGATGTAGTAATGTTCCAATATTATTGAGGTTTAACGTAGAACATTCATACTTTCCACCAAGTTTATAACATACCATCCATCTTTGTTGTGAGTTTATTTTAATTTTCTCTAAGAGTCTCATGAAAACCTTACCGAAATGTTTGTGTAAATATTCTCTGTTTGGTTCATCTAAAGCTTCGATGTTAAAGTCAATGAGTCTATTGCCTGACTTCACATTTCTCTTCCTATTCTCTTCATCTTTCTTTAACCATCTCTCACCTTCTTTTGGTTTGTCGTCAATGGAACGAATGACATCGTTAGCTTTGCGAACTTGTTCTATAGCACTTTTAAACATCTCTCTTCTCTGTTGTTTCAGTGTGTCGTCTCTTCTTCTTGTTTCACCAACGTTTGCATTTGTTATGTCAAACATTTCTTGACGAACATCATGCGAAAGAGCTTTACGAGTATGACCAACGTTCGCATTTGTTATGTCAAACATTTCTCTTCTTACTTCATGAGGTACTGAACGTCTATGATATAAGTCAATAGCAATGTCATTTAAAGGAAATGCTCTTGCATGGACTTCGTCCTCGCCGCGTTGCGGCTTTATGAACTCATGAATTCTATCATAACTTATTGCACCATTGTAGTCTTTAATGAAGTCAGCGAGTGCTTTTTTGTTTGTCGCGTAATGTTTTGCAACATCTATATTAGCTTCTGTAAGAAGTTGTTTTATTTCCGAGTGTTCTAACTTAGACAACTTCCGATACATCTTTAGTAGGAAATAAAAAAATATTTTTTGAAAAAATAAACTTAGAAAAATTATTTCTTTATATATTTGCCATTCCGAACTTCGAAAAGATGTTTTATACCAGCATAGAATTTTTCTCTAGAGCTTGGTCTTATATCGTTTTCATGACAATATTTTCTATATTCTTCATATAAAGCCTTTTTTTCATACATTTTATAAGGACAATCTAACCAGAATAGCGCATATCCATTTTCGTTATCTAGGTCTCTATATGTTTGTGGAATTTCGCTTTCTTCTGTTTGTAGAATTTCGCCTTCACTATTTAGTTCTATGTATATATATTGTGGAATTTCGCTTTCTCTATTTAGTTCTATGTCTATATATTGTGGCTTAAAAGGATGTGGGCAAGAAGGGTCTGGCGCTATGTAAAAAGTTAATTTTTCTGTCATCTTTTCTATCGGATAAAAAATATTTTTTGAAAAATTAGATTACATTTTTTTTAAGTTATTTTTCAAAATAATTTAATATTTTTATTTTAATGAAACACATGCAAGATTGCAAGTTCTTTTCATACAATGCTCTCGCTACTGCCATCAAGAATGAGTTCAATTGCTTCAAACGTTAATGTTATCTTTAACAAGAAGTTTGTGAAAGAATCTAAGTTCGGTCAGTATGTCAGACCATTAGCTATTGTCATTGACCGCAAACGTTATACTTCACAAGAGTTAGCAGTAGTTTTGAAACAAAAGGGTTTCTTCGTGAATGTCAAAGATACTCATTATACTGTTATAAAGAACTCCAACATTGACTTCTTCAGTATTGCTTTAATCTTTCCGAACAGAAAGAATATAAGAAGGGTGAAAAATGTGAAATATTATCCTTCATCTCTGAAGACAATAACGAACAAAGATGTTATACAAAAGTTCTTACCAAAGGTTGAAGAAGCTTCTATTGACATTGACGAAGGAAGTGAAATGGTTGAAGAAATTGACCCTGAAGCTATTTAACCAAAAATATATTTTTGGTGAAGAGGTGAGATTTCACCTGTTTTTTCACCTCATTCTCTCTTCGTTAATGTTGTCGTGACTTCTTCGTTAATGTTGTCGTGACTTCATTCTTCCTCTTTGAAGTTATCGAAATATTCTGTTATTTTTTCCTTCAGTAATGGTAAGTCTTCTTTGAAGGTAAGTATTGTGCAACCTTTGATGTCATAGTGTGTTTGAGGAAGAGTATTTTTGACAATTTCTTTTATTTGCTCATTCGGTGTCATTGAAATCGGTAAGTTTTCACGATAGAACCAGTTTCTGTCAGATTTATATATTTTAGCAAGGTCGTAAAAGCTTTTGTTGTTTCTTCTGACTAAATGCAACATAACCATATCTCTGTCTTCTTCATTCTCCAACTCTTCAGTATAAATCATATACTTATAGTTCTTTTCCTTTCCTTTTGGTACTGAACGCGGTATTCTTTTCTGTATGCTTTTGTCTTTGGATTCAATGACTTCATCTTTTGCTTGAAGTTTCTTTTCCATCTCTCCACGTTCTTGTCTGTGAAGTTCGTCAAGAAGTTTGTAAATATTCCAAGCATAACGTGGTGAAGCCCACATTGCAACTGCATTTACTAAAAGTCTATGAACATAATATCCTCTCAAACCGTTTGGCAATTTTTCACGGTTTTCATAGAGTTTTGGCGACTGGGATTTTTTACCTACTCGCTGTTCTTCACTGTTTTCAGAAAAAAGTACGTCTCGCTGTGCTTCACTTAATAGTTCTATGGTGCTTTGGTTCCTAAACCAGTCTTTAGGAAGCTTAGTATCTGGAGCAAAACAAGCCGTCAAAATACTTTGCATTTGGTACATGTCGTCTTTGACAGAACGAATGAGTCTCAATTGTTTGTTATACTGTATGTATTCGTATTCTTCATTTATGACTTCATGAACGATAGCAGTTGTTGTGTTCTCTAATGTTGACATATCTGTCTTTACATACAGGATAAAAAAATAAATAAAATAAAAACTAACTTTATTTTTTTTGAGATAAACACTATTTCTTCACAACATTAAATTTTATCCTGTATGAAATGACTTTAAAAAGATTATTGACTGACTTCGAATACTATCTCATTGACGCACTGACAGACCCTCAAAACTGTGTTGAAAGTTCTTTAAGCTTTAAGATTGAAGGTACGACGCATTTTGTCTTCACTTACGTATTGAAAGAATATGACCGTTATCATAACGAAGTGAATCAAACACTAATAAAATTTGTAGATAAAAAATTGGTTAACAATGAATATTTTAAACGTGAAGACCCAAACACTGCTGGAGATGATGAAGAATACAGACAAGTTATTGAAAAAAATAACGCAAGATTAGATGCAATAGAAAAGAAGTTTAATGAATGTCTTACAAACACGTATGAATATCTTATGCAGTGGGAAGCCAGATGGAAATAAATTTACGTCAAATATGCAATTTATAAAATCTTATGTCGACAGGCTACGTAGCACAGTGGTCTAAGGTGGTGTTATGGAGGGGTCAGGGTCTGTGGTTCGAACCGCGACAGCGCCGTATTTTCTTATTTTCTTTATTTGTCTTGTTTGTCGTGAATAAAAAGTGTCATAAAAGTGCTCTATCTTCCACGGGAATAAATAAAAAATTTACTTTATTTCTTCTTTATTTCTTTGTTCCCGTGGAAGAAGGGTTTTTGCCGTTTTTTCTCAGCCGAAATCAACGATTTTTTCATTTTTGGAATCCTTAGCAAATGAGGAATCTTTTCTCTCGTGGAAGCTTTGACCAAAAATATAATTTAGGTGAAGAGGTGAGATTTCACCTTTTTTCACCTTTTTTCACCCTCAGCCGCTAAGCGGCGAGACCCAAATCTTGACTTTGTCATAACTTCTTCGTAAATGCTTTGTCATAACTTCTTCGTAAATGCTTTGTCATAACTTCTTCGTAAATGCTTTGTCATAACTTCTTCGTAAATGCCTTGTCAGATTTCATCGTAAATGCTTTGTCATGACTTCTTCGTAAATGAGTGTAAATGACCAAAAATATAATTTAGGTGAAGAGGTGAGATTTCACCTTTTTTTCACCTAATTTTTCACCTCTTTTTTTCACAAGCGTTTTACATGAATTGTACGATGTATATTTGAAATCCTAAACAGTTTTGTAGCTTCTATTTCTTCGCTGAGGATATCAAAAGTTTTAACAATGCCGAAAGTCTCTTTATATTTCTTCTTGACGTCAGATAGAAGGAAATCTTCTACTGTTGGATAGTTTTTGTTCAGAAATGCTAACATGTCCATTTTATCTTCTGCTGGCTTTTCTGCTTCTTTCTTTAAGTCTGCATAGTCGTTTCGCATTCTTTCTATCTCTTTGACGGAGTAGTTATATTTCCTTATTGCTGCTTTACATTTTGAACATTGTGGGTTCATTTTTGCATTATACATTGAAATTTGACCTGCTAGAACAACTAAAGCGTCAATTGCTCTCTTCATCTCAAACATAGCGGGTCTTAGTTGTTCGTTCCATACTTTGCCTCTTCTATCTTTATCTCTTATTTCCCAAACACATTCAGCAACTAACGAAACAAAGTTGTCGTAGGTCTTAAATTCTTCAGATTTATATATGTCAGAAACATTCTTATATACCATATCGCAATCTTTGTCCATAACTTTATGGTTGCAATGAAAACCAAGGAATTCATAATTTACTTTACGTATGAACTTCTTTATTTCTACTGAGTCAGTTGCTTTGACTTCAATTTCGTCGAATTCAGGAATAGTTAGTTTTTGATGCTGAATTTCAGGTAGTTTAGGTAAATGGTCGATGAGGTCCTCCATTTCATAAAGATACTGTTCATTTGTTTCATCTTTCGCACTACAGTCTAAATTACTTGTTAAAAGTTCCTGCTTAATTTTTTGTATTTCTGTTTCGAAAGTAAATGAAGAAGGAATGAAGCTTTCCATCTCTACTAACATAGATGTTGGATTCATGACTAACGAGTTTGGTGAAGTTGTTGTGGACAGAGTCCCGCCGTTCGCGGCTTGAATTGTTGTTGTGCCGATTGTTGAAATCATATCTTTTATACAAAATAAAAAATAAATAAAAATAAAACTAACTTTATTTTTTCTATTCTTAAGAAATTCACAGAAAAACGAAAATTCAAGAGGTGAAAAAACAGGTGAGAAAACAGGTGAAATCTCACCTCTTCACCTATAATATATTTTGTCTGATTTACATCCAACGAAAAAGTTTAGAAGAATTTTCTTATTCTTTCTGGCATGTTTTTATCTTTCCAGTACTCCCGCTCTAATGGTCCCAGATGAGTTGGTTTAGATTCTCTCAAGTTCTTAGATGGTATAACATCTTCAACGCCTCCTTCATATCTTACTTTATAAGTGTCATCGTTTATGTTATAGCCAAGTATTTCAATAACCACTCCTCGCTTTGCTTCGTCAATGGTTTCAGCAAGTTTGCCATTACTACTTTCGACTAATTTATGTCGAGGATAAAACGCAATAGAGTCGTCGGCAGCTTTTATAAGATATCCATTACCTTGCGTAGAGTCTACGATATAATAATTTCGACTTAACCTTAAACGTTTCTTTGTCAACGGTTTGTCGTCAAGAACTACACGAACTTTTGTTCCAGGAATGAGAGTAAATTGTGTTGAATTTCTGATATTTTGTGTTTGACTTCGTTTCTTTTGTATATACTTTTCTTCTTGTTGTTGTGTCATTGAATTTGGTGTATGTCCTGTTGTAGAATGTGTTGAGGAATTGTAAACTTCGATGAAATGTTTCATTGTTTCTTCGGTAAAGTCTCGCTCTTGATTTAAATCTCTGAGAGTCCTTATGAAGCGGTTAATGATACCGAGTATGTTATGGTTATGGTCTTCAGTAGTGTAGTGAGTTATGTTATGCTTAATGAGAAATTCTGTGATTTCATTGCTGAGGTATGCACTGTCTTGGTCTGATGTTAAAGTACTTGGGTTATGTTCTGCTACAAACTTTTGTAAAACTCTTAACACTTCATGAGTTCCTTTATTTCTCATTATATACGCAAAAGCTTTGCGATGTTAACATTTATGAAGATGAGGAATGGTTTATGTCCTCCTTTTCTGCTTTGAATGAGAGTGTCAAATTGGTATGCGTCAGGAGTGTTGGAGTAAATTGGTAAAAAGTAGTCGTAAGGTTTATTTTTGTTTGATGTACAACATTTTTGTCAAAGAACTTTTTAACTTCAGCTCTGTTAGTAAATCCCGAACTCTTTGCAGCTTCATTGAACTTCTTAAATGACCTCCATGGATGTTGTTCGAATACTTCTTTCAAGCTCATTTATGTAAAGTTAAAGATTTTTAACCAACTCGTATCCAAGCGTGCATTGTTATATTAAGAGGCATATAATCTTTTCCATTACCTGCTGGGTCTGTAATACCAGCTACAACATGTGTATGATTTCCTGCAGTTCCACAGAAAATACCTGTGCTAACATCTTTGGGGTCATCTGAGATATCATATCTGTTCATTCCCTGTCTATTCGAACCCGCTGCAAGATTTATATAACCTCTTTTTGTTATTGAATGTGAATGGTTTCCTTCCACAGATGTTCTTCCACTGAACCTATGCATATGTGAAGGAAGGTTTTCAATACCTATTTCTTTGAACCTCCCATCTTCATTGACTGCGTATTAGTGTAGAATGGAAAACTGTCAACTATTTCATACCATCTACCACCAAATAAAGTGTTTGGATTTATTGGATTCATAGACGTATAAACAGCTCCTATAGGATATATTAAATCATATATGCTCATAACTCTATAAACATATTCTAAAGAACTTATGTCATTAAATACCATTTGGAATGTATCTCCCGGATGAAATGTTGCATTTGTTCCACTTTTATAATGTAATGTTAGTTCAATAGAATTATCCAAGAAAAATTCAAAAGTATCTGGTTGAAGACCTCTAACAAATTCAAATGGAGTTGCTGGTTCACCATTTATAATTTCTGTTGTAAATGTCATTGTATCTGGTTTCGAAAATTTCTTTGTTAGTTCTGTATCCACATAAGTTTTGTCGGCTTTACTGTCTAACATTGCTGGTAGTTCATATGCTTCAAAGTTTCTGGCATGACTTTCAATGTTCCTGCAACTCTTATCTAAATTGTTAAGAGTATCTTTTACGCTTGTACTCGGATTCTCTAAAGGTGCACTTGAACCAAGGTCAAAGTTCAATATTATGTCGTCTGCTCTAACAGTAGTGAAGGATTTATGTGTATGGTTCTTGGTCTGCTTTCTTGTCATATAAATCTTTGAGCAGTGAATTTAACATTATGTTCATCCTTCATGACATAAACATCTTTACATCTAATGTTTCTCATCGTCGTTATGTCAGCTTTACTTTTAATAGCATCTTCAAAAGTTATTTTTGACTTAACTCTCAAAGTAAATCTTGGTTCAACTAATACACCGTTAACAAAGAAGTATGAAGCATAAATTTCAGCGTTATAACCAAATGATTGTGGTGCTATACCTGTGTCATACTGTACAGTACAGTGTATGTCATAACCTTTAGCACGAATGAATTTATATCTTCTTTCATTAACATTTTTCGTATTCACTTTTTCACCCTGTGTTAAATATCCATGATAGTCCGTTATAATCTGTTCATCAGAACTTATATAATGAACATGGTTTTTGTCTGCTTTATTGTCTAAAGAAGTTTGAAGTTCATTTATATCGGAGATATTGTGTTTATGAGATTTCAAAACTTTGTTCGTTGCGTCAAGTTCATTTTTGTCCGCTTTACTATTTAATGTAGCTTGAAGTTCATTTATATCGGAGATATTGTGTTTATGTTCTTTATCTGCTTTTTCGGCTAATTTCTCTTCTATCTCATTTATTTCAAGTTCATGCCTACCACCACCTCCCGAAGAAGTATTTTTCTTCAGCTCTTGAAGAACGTCCACTTCGCCATCTTTGGTGTCAATAATGAGACTTTGAGTTAAAACCTTTCCTGTCTTAATGGATGTTTGTAAAACTTCTTCTTCACCGTGTTCGGGGTCATGGTCGTCGTCATATCTTGTGAAATCAGAGATGTTGTCATACATTAAGCATATCTGTCTCAAAAGTTCTGCTATTTGAATTGGAACGAAAGATATACAGAACTTTCATCATCTCCTAAAGTCAAGTCTGCTTTCTTAAGTATTTCTTGAATGTATGCAATGAGAACAGAGTACCTTGGAAAATATTCGAACAATATTTCATTAGCTGTTGGTTTTGGTGGTTCTTCTGGAGTTTCTGTTGTTTCAGTTCCTTCTGGAGTTTCTGTTGGAGTTTCTGCATCTCTTGACTTCAATGCTCTTGCTCTCAAAGACCTAAATGTTAGAGCACCGGGTTTTACAAAGGACTTTATAAATGCTTTAATAGTTCCTGGTAAGTTATTGTTAGCATTAAGTAAGTTCCTTATGCTTCCATCATGTACGTCCATAGCACTATGTAAAAAATCTATACTTTTCTTGTAGTCAGCAATAGACTGACTGTGATTTTTTAAAGATTTGTCAATACCTTTAAGCCAATCTTCATGCATGTCTGATACTGAGCCAAGAATATCATTTGCTTCCTTTAGTGTATTTTGTGCTTTTCGTAAAGTATCCAATCCCGTACGTGCATTGTTTGCTATACGTCTTACAGTATCTATTTGACTCCTTGTTTCTTGCATCCAACCAGATAAAGTTTTAATAGTATCCGAACCATTTGAAATGAAGTTCAAAGCATTTTTAACATCATCTAAAGCTTCTTCACCAAGTACTGCCCATATCTTTCCGATTTGGTATTGAAGAACTCCATATGAAGCAGCTGTTAAACCAGTATTTATAAGGTCCCATATCCATGATTTAGCAGTTTTTCCATCCTTTCCATCCTTTCCATCCAAACCGTTTTCGCCTTGAGGTCCTTGTATTCCTTGAGGTCCTTGTATTCCTTGAGGTCCTTGTATTCCTTGTGGTCCGGTGTCACCCTTCTCTCCTTTCAGTTCATCTTTATGTTCGTTATAATATTCTAATGTCATAAGGTGTACATCATTACTGCTACCAGCAACTCCTAATATTTGTTTCTCATTCATGACTAAATTCTTTAGGCATTTAATGTTGTCGTCAAATCGAAAGCTCTTTAACAATTCAATGAGAACATTCAGTACTTTCACTAATGAGGCATCTACTGTAGAATTTATATATTGCACCGTTCCATCATTTATGATAGGAACTTTACTTATTGTAATGAATGGGTCATAAGTGTTAAAAGTATCGAAATCAATGACTTTTTTAGTTTTTCCATCGTCAATGACTAAATCATTGCCTTCAATGGTTAAAGTTGAGTTTTCGTTTACTAGTTCATGTGCTCTTCTTGCTTCATTTGTTTCATACGCATATGCAGCAATAGTCATATTTTAATGAGAATAAAATGTTGTTCTATTTGCAAAGTACTGACCCAAACGAATACGGAACAGTAAAGCTACAAACAAACTTAGGTCTTCAGAATGAAGCGCTTGCTTTCAGAGTTGTTGACTTCAATACTATCGCAACTTTTGTCATAACAGATGAAACAGATTTCATGGAGTTTGAAATAGATGGAAAGAAGCATGAAATAAGATTTCACAATAATGTAGAATATAAGATGGAAACATTAGCTGGAGTGTTAAATGCGCTCATAAATACTACAATAAACAAGGAGAACGAAGAAAACTTAATGAATGTTAAACTTATTGCAGGAGTTTTGAAGTTCAGTTATGCGAAGGAGTTTAAGATAACACGAATGAGTCATAGAGTTCAATTGCTTCTGGGAGCATACCATATGACATTTCCTTTGAAAAGTTTGACAAAACGATTGAGATGAAATCTGTTCCATACGTATGTTATGGCAATTGTTTATACATTGAGTCAAAAATAGCTAATGTCACAGGTATTTCAGGAGTTAATAGTAAAGGTTCAGTAGAATATAAGTCTTTCTGTTATGAAGTAAATTCAATGTTCATTCCAAACGTTCCTGTCATAGCAACTCATTTAGGTAAATGGGTTCGCATTAGTCCTCATAATTTGAAAGACATGCAATTCAGACTAGTTGACTTTCAAGGAGAGCCTGTAGAACTGAAGGCACCAGTGCGAATGACTGTTGAAGTAGACTTTTTAGAAAATATTAAATGCAACAGCTTACAAGAGAACTCAGAGCTAAAAATATAAAGTATGAATGTTATGTATTAGGTCATGAACTTTGGTTGTTGCTGTTTGATGAAACAAATGAGTTAGTTATGTCAGTCAAGAGAACAGAAAAAGGCGTCAAAGGCGCCGAGCGCAAAGCGCTATATTGTGTTAGTGAGAACTGCACCAAGTCAATAAGATTAGGTTTGCATTATGAAGATGAGTTCGATACTGTTGAAGAAGTTTTGGATAGATATTACAAATTGCTAACTTGAAATTTTTTTGACTAACGGCGCAAAGCGCCAAGATGGGCTCAAAGAGCCCTCCTGACTGCTTTAATTTACTAAAACATATTTCAAACATAATTTATATTCTGTTGAAAGTTTTGTATACTCGTTCGAATATTTATACTTAAACTCAACTCCTGGAGTACCTGGTATTTCAATGATGCGGATGTTACCTATTTTCATGAATGGTGGCGTTTGACCACAGCATTCGATTTCAGGGTCGAGATAGTCAATGACACATTGTTTCCCTGTTATTCGTGATATAACATTTTCAAGGTCCTCCTTTGTTAGAATTATTTGGTTCTTGCTTATAAGATTTGTCAAAAGCTTCTTATCGTCTTTGAGTAAGATAGTTTGATATAACTGAAGAAGGTAATGGTCTACGTTATCTGAAGGATTTGTTTGAACATTTGTGTAAGGGTTGTCGTTGGCTTCTCTTGAAAGAATTTGGTCCAGTGGTGGATACTCTAACTTAACATCTGATGTAGCGTTAGCGTTTGAAGCTGAGTTTAAATTCACGGCGCCATGCGCCAAGACCGAGGTCCCGACTTAAGTTCTGGTTCTTTTTCTTTCAAACACTCCGAACTATAGTTCTTTATGACAATATTGTTTGTCGTTCGTGAGTCAACATTTGATGTTGGTTCAATTGGAACATTAACGGCACCAGCTAAGATGGATTTGCTTCTCATTTCATATAGAATAAAAACCTTTTATATGTATGAAATGAACAATATACTCGACAAGGGTTTGAATGTAAAGCTAACGAATGAAAATATTGTTGAATTCACTGAGACAGGTGCTGTGTATAAAGATGTAGAACTACTGAACAAAAGAGCTAAGGGAAGAAGCAGGAACATGAACAAAGGGTGGAAGCCTATAAAAATTTATGTCAATGATGGCTCAGGAGGTTCAAACATAAAGTATGCAGAAAGTTATAGAGTTTATGCGCTAAAAGGTGAAAAGCCTTCATTTAAGAACAGCTATTCTAACGCATATCCTCAAAAGTTAACGGATGGGGAAGTGGATGATATGAATGACAGCAAAAATATTAACAGAAATGGCGACAGAGATGCATGGAATTTGTTTACCATCAGTCAATTGAAGGTTAAACTTTAAAACAATGTTGGTCGTTCCCATGGAATATTTTTGACTTTAATGGTATTAGTCATGATATGAATCTCAAGGTATGAACGAGGAGAGATGAGAGACTTATATGCTTCCCAAATTTCTTCAAAAGGTAATGTTATACCTGACTGTTTCCAAATGAGTTCAATATCATAGCGTGAGAAACCTTGAAAGATAACGAAGTCAGTTATGAGACGTTTTATGTTTAAAGCTAAAAACCTCCATGTTTGCATAAGTATTGCTACAGTTAAGTGGTAATGTCTGACTTTAGTAATGATGTTAGCTAATGGTGAGTCAGGCTTTGACACTAAACCTTTTCCGGCGAAGTCGTCGCAAACGAGCAGAGTGTTTGAAGGATACTTTTTGAAGGGGTATTTTGAAAGTTTTGACAGAATGTAGTTTGTAAGTCGTTTCATATCGTAAACTCCTGAGTATTGACGTAAGTGGTGTTTGTCAATAATTCTTTCCATCTCTTCTGAAGTCTTTTGCATTCCTGACTGTATAAATTCAACGATGGCATAATATTTCCTCTTACGTCGAATGTAACGTTGAAGAAATTCAATGAGTTCGCTATCTGGAACTTTAACGACAGAGGCTTGAACTTTTGACATAAATGTTTTCGCTGTTGAGTCCATAGAGTCTGAAGTTGCTGATATAATGATTTGGTCATAATATGAATCTTGACCTAAACGCTCTGTTATGAGTATATGACGAATGAGGTTAAATGTCTTACCTGACCCCATCTTTCCACAATAGAAATAAACACCATTTGAACAGAACTCATAGTCCTTACTGAAAGGAAGAATGAAGAAGAGTTAAGTTTGTCTGTAGTTTCATTCATGTCTTCATCTACGTCATGTATTAAATGCTTCATTTTATCTCCATTAAAAATGCAAGTCAGAAATATTCAGAACATAGCACCGAGTCTAACTGACAAGAGTATAAAGATATACTATGAACACGTTATGATGAAACCAACCAAAATTCAAGAAAGTCAGTATACTTATGAATATCCAAGACACTGGGTAGAGTATGTAGGAGGTGAGAAAGCTATTGAAATAAGACAAGTTAGAAGTATTCCAGCAGGAAGGACAATATTATTGAAGAACTTTAATGTTTTGATATAATGATGAGACAAAGAAGCAAGATAGTTTTCCTATTGCTGTGTATGTGAACCTAGACACAGGAGATGACATGAAAGTTTTTAACACAAAGCTTCAAACGGTAGTGAGAGAACAACTGACTGCGGAAGGACACCCATTACCTTCAGAAGTTACCATAGCGTATAATTTTGAAACAAATGCAATAGATTTTAAAGTCGTCTCTGCAAAGAAGTCAGGTTTTACATTTAATGAAGCAGATGTATATTCGAATGAAAACTTCAAAGCTATTGCATGGTTAGATAATGACGATTGCTTTAAGAAAATATTTAAATTCAGTGACTCAACGATGTCAATAGATGACCTTCGTGGAATGTTACCATCGACGTTTACAGTAGAAGGTTCAGCAGGATTGCTTACAAGATTGTCAATTGGTGGTATTTGGTCTCGTGAGAACATTGTTATAAAATCCAGTATAAGTGAATTTGCTGAAGAATCTATATTATGTCTTTCAAACTATATGTATTCGCCGCCGAAGCATTATAGTATAACAAACTTTGTCAGTAAGTTTAATATAAGACTTGTTGAACCTTCTTCAATGAAAGATGTTGTGCTACCCAAAGACGGAAAGGATGGACTCATTATTGAGATGATTTTAATAGCATATTAAATGAGCTTGTTTTTAAAGGTCATTCATGATGAAATAACTGTTGTAGAAGATGTTAGCAATTGTTCAGACATTTTGAAGCGTATAGATGAGATAAGAAAGAAGTTTATGAATGAGAATGTTTATGTTTCATTGACTTTCTCCAGTAAAGAGAACTAGAGATAATGTATTTAATGACATAGATTCTTTAGAATATGTTGTTATAGAGTTTATAGCTATATGATGTTAATATATCTATAGGAGCTGTTTATACGTCTATGATCCAATAAATCCAAACACTTTTATTTGTGGTGATGGTATGAAATAGTCTGACAGTTTTCCATTCTAGAACTAAATAACGGGACCAGTCAATGAAGTGGAGGTTCAAAGAAAAATAGGTATTGGAAAACTTCCGTTCGATGAATTGTCAAGGCTGTCCAGTGGAGATACATTGTCTGTGAAGAAATCCATTCACATGTCACAGAATCAGAAGGCAGAGGTTATAGGTTGAAGTATTGTCATGCGAGTGCGGGTTGTAGTGTACGGGATGATTGAGCAGGGAGTACGGATAATAGTCGTCCGGATATCATTGAGTATTAGTTTGAACTCGCCAAAAGCATTAAACACAGGTGTATTTCTGTGAAAGCTAGCAGGAAAATACATCCATATGTTGTGGAGCTGTTAATTAGGAGGACAGCAGCGGAATTGAAAGAAAGCACGACTGGGCACAGCAGGTTCGGAAAGTATATACCTACCTTATATAACAATGC